TCCATTTAGCTACAGATTTTATAGTTTAACATGAAATTCACATTCATAGTGAATTTCATTAAGACCTCTCTTCTGACGTTATCTGGAATTTCGGTTTATATCAATTTGTTTTTTATGCTGTTTACAAATATACTCATCAGTCTCCTTTCACGGAACATTTATGAATAATAATATTACGTCTAAAAACATTAATATTGGTACTCTAGTGTTAAAATCTTTTGTTTTAATGACGAACTGTAATGTAGTTTAAACCTTATTTTTCTCATAATTTTAAGCCTTTTCTGATTTTGATCAGAGAAAAGATTTTGTGGATATTATAGTCGTTTAACAGTTGAATTCATGAATTAATTGAAGCTAGATCATCATGGAAAACCTGGAAGCATTGGATAGCCGTTTTGTCCTGTTGTGAGATTTCTCAGCAGTGAGCGCCCACTATCCCGCCTTGCGGGATTTAAACTCAAGACCCATCAGTCTCAAACGCGAGCGTCTAACTACTAGATCACTGAGCCGGCATCCACCGGTGTTAATGTCTAACTTCAACTAGCTTCAATTCTGATTTTTTGACACTACTCTAAATCCTTTGCTTTAGCATCATGCCTTCGTTACTACATATACTCGGTTATACCATTTCAAGTTCCTTTGTTTAAACTACGTTTTTTCCTACAATTTCTCATCTTTCTGTGCTAAAACATTAATTGTAGTAGTTTTGTGTACCAGCTGTCATTATCGAGTCTACGAAAGTACTGTATGTATTAAAAGATCTCACTGACTTTATTGATTTACAAAACTTAATCAAAAACCTGAATACGTAAAGGTTTTTCTATCAAGATATGATGATAAAGAGAATTATTCATGTCTGGACGCTTACTTTATTTATTTAAAAATGTATTGAAGTTAAGTTTACAGTCTGATATTAGTAGTTATTACTTTACTTCATTAACAATCATAATTTAGCAAGCTATCATTCTGAAAGCACCGGCTTTCCGTCCTAGTATGGGACTCCCTAGCAGTGTGCTTTACAGACTGAAATTGAGGTGAGGATGTTATAGGTTCATCTGGCCTTTCAATGTAGAAATGTCGTTATTAATTTAAAAGATTAGTTCTTCAGATATCAGTCAGTCAGCTACAACGTAGGACCAGACACACATTTGCATCGGTCCAAGTTGCCATATCTCATTAGCACAACAAGATTAACACCAAATTCATAGAAATAGTCACTTCAATGGAACTAATATATAAAAGAAGGATTGTGTATAAGATTACGGTACAGGGAGAAAGAAGTGGTTCGTACGAACAAAGATATAAAGCAATTTCGATCTCATAATTTAAGGGAAGACAAAGAATGTATACACCATTGTGATCGATTCTGAGCAATTTCACCCACAGTCTCCAGCCATTTGTCACGATAGTCACGCGAACCCCAACCAAGTAGTCTGTATCTACCGATATACCTCAGACTAGAAGTTGATGACTTTAAAGACTGATGCCACGTTTTGGTTAGACACCCCAAACTTTCTTCTAGCAATCCAGAACACTAGTCAGTTTTGTGTGTCGTATTAAATAAATAGCTAAAATCAAACTTTATTATCTGTCCTCAATATTCGCGTAAAACATCATTCAATGTACAATTAAAATATATTTAAACAATCAGTAGTATTTATGAAAATCATTAAATTTATACCATATTACCAAATTTATTACAACTAATACGGAGAAATCTAAAACCATCATAAAACAAATTCACTTGATATTTGTTTACTTATACATTCCTATTTACTGTTTAAGATTGTAAATGATCAATCTCTTGTTAGAATATATACCATCTTATACAGATTGTCTTGATATTACCTTAACTCACAAGCATTTTATTATTGAAACTGTTGAATCTCCAGATAATTTGTATTCATCATTGAAACCTCTCTCTCTCTCTTTTTTTTTCTCTCTTTACATGGAACTAATCTCTATGAAATCCACTCAACTAAATAAGCTGATTTTTTTCTTGTAACATTCCATTTGAATGTAAATGAAATTTTTATGGCTACTGAATAAAATGTTAATGATTACCATAATAATAATAATAATAATAATAATAATTATTATTATTATTATTATTATTATTACTATTAAGACTTATATTTCGTCTACATTTTTCCTCGTTTTTTTATTTTTTATTTTTTTATTTTTTAAAATTTTCTCATTGTAAGTAATAATCCTTTATGAGAAGAAAAAAAATCCTGTTTAATCCCAAATAAATAAAATTTATCATCGACAAAAATAAATCTATGTGTAAATGTGTATACGTTTAAATGTAAATGTAGTTTTAGGGTAAAATAAAAAGCAGAGAAAAAAAAGCAGAAAACAAACGAATAAATAAATAAATAAATAAATGGATGAATGCATGAATGTAATCTGACTTAATTAAAGTTGAATTGTATTGAGTTTTTTTTTCTTTTTTTTAAAAAATCTTTTTTTTTGTTTTTTTTCTTTGTTTGTTTGTTTTAATCTAAATTGTAATTAATGTTTATTGTAGGCACTTTCAAATTCTTCAATGATCATTTGAAAATGATTAAAAATATTTTAAAAAAAACAAAAACAAGAAGAAGCTATAAACTTACAAAACAAAATATTATTAGTTTGCTTTTGTTCTGTTTTAATCAGGTTGATAAAAAAATAACTGTATTTTTTTCTTTTTTTAAAGCAAAGATGAATAGTGGGTAGTAGTGGAATTCAGAACGTGTGTCACTTCGTTCTATTTGTGATTCGTCAGTTGGATGTATCTGCATCTTAGAGTTGATGTTCACTATTAGACTTGAACACAGTATTGTTCGACTTCAAACGTCATAGCATTATCCACTTAGCTACTGAGTCTGGAAAGCCACTTGATTGTTCCATAAGGTGAAGTTTAAATTCATTTGGTGTTGCTTACTTGTATCTTCCCATTGTTATTTAGAACTGCAATTAATTGGTCTCTTGTTGACATATGTGCATCCTGTATGGATTGCCTCGATATTGCCTTAGTTCACAATCATCATAAGCAAAGATGAAATCCAAGACGTCTATCAGTTCGTCCTATTTGTGACTCGCTAGCTGGATTTACTTGCATTTCAAAGTTGATATACACTTTGGGACTCGAACACAATAAACAAACAATCAGTCTCTGATGTACTAGTCTGTCTACACATTTAAGTATATACGTTTGTTAGATAGAAAGTAAAAGTCAGACTGGAATATATCAGAATAGATAATTTGAGAAAAACATTTATTGAGTTGATTAGCTCAAGTTAATATATTCACTCTAATAAATCATTACACACTTCTTCTGATCCATTACTATCACGTTATCCACTTAGATAATGAGTCACGATAGCTAAGTGTATAACGTGATGGGATTTGAAGAGAATGCTATTGGGTTTGAGTCCTTGACTAAACATCAACTCTGGGATGCGAATAAATCTAGATGACGAGTCCCAAATAGGATAGAACGCGCATTCCGGATTTCATTGTTAGTCATCATTCATTTTTGCTTATAATGCTTGTTAATTAAGGCAATATTGAGGCAATACGTACAGTAGGCAAATGTACCGATAAGACACTGATTAATTGCAGTCCTGAACATCAATGGGAAGATTCAAGTAAACAATAACAAGTAAATGAAGTATTTTTTTTGTTTAAATTATTCAATGTTTTAAATAATGAAATGAAAGTGGATAAATAATGATAACATTTAGACATAATAATCTTTTTTCTTTTCTTTTTTTGTTTCTCCCCATTATGTTATTCTAATCAAATGTTGTTTATTTTTAAGAACAACATAGATATAAACGAACAATATTGTTTTCGATTAGATCCTCATCAGGTTTTACTTTAATATCCAGTAATATTTATATGCATATACGAAATTATTATACCAATTATGGCAGTCTATGAGTTAATGATAACAGTGGAATAGATTATATAAATAAATATAATAAGTGAAGAGTACAAATTGGTAGTGTGCTGAGAGGTGTGCTAGTTGTGATAACAATAATGAAGGCTTGAATCAATGTTACATAATAGGAAATAGGTTAATGATTAAAAAATATAGACACTGAAATAACGTTCATAAAAATTATAGGATTACGTAATAAGAAGTGTTCAGATAATTGGACCGTGAAATGTATATTTCGAAGACGAAAAGAGTGAGAGGTGCCTTTTCCCTTCGAGTCGAACAAGTTGATGAAGCCCAGTAGGCCCTTCTGGAGAGAAGCAGGCCACATCGAGGCACGGCACAACTATTGAGTCTAGAGTAGCTGTTTTGCAGTCGGTCGGAGTTTACCCCGTAGGGAAAACCCCGTACATTCCATGCACCACTTTTGTGAATTTTTTGTTATTTTTTCGATTTAGGAGTAATTCTGCTGTGATTCTCTGTGGATTTTGTAGTCAGTTTGTGGGTATCGGTCAAGTGGGTGATTAGCCCGATCTCCACCACCTGGGTTACTACTCACGTTAGTTCATGAGACTGAGTCCCACTATCCAGGAGGCATGATAAGGATGTGGGAGTCGGGTTTTGCCTCCCAAAGGGTGGGCGGGGTGAAGAAAAATAAACGAAGAAAGCATATGGAGAACAACAATAAATAAAATCATCTATTAAGGCCAAGGGAGAGATAAAAGTGTTAAAAATTTCTTATGAATATAAAAACTTAGATTGTTTGTTCGAATTTTTGTAGCTTTTACTATGTGCAAGAGACGAGGTCAAACCCCATAAGGGAAACTAGTAGGAATACGAAAAATAACATTAAATGACTTATTTCTGTTTACTACATGTCCGCTATCGATCAAGTGTGATAAGAATAAACTGTTTATTGTCTTGAAAGTACCTTTTCCTAACCACGAATGGAGGTGTTCACTGATTCTCTGGCTCAGTTGCTTGGTAGTGCGCCCGATATAGCATTCTCCACAGGAACAGCTGAATTCATAGATAGACATAGCAGTGGCATTGTCAGGTAACTTATCCTTAATTTGGGGAATCACCATTGATTGGGTCAAGTACGATAGACGGAAGTTAGCTTCATTAAACGTTCTCCTAACTGCTCTAGTCAGTCTATCATGTAGCACATTACCAGTGACATCTCTATTGAATTGCAGCTTCCGGGAAATGGGTTTCTTACTATCCTTTGATATTGCTATTTTCTTGTTTGTTACAAACAAATTTTTTTTTCAGGAAACCTTGTCGATAACCCATTACTATCAACATATTACGTATAAGCTCGAATTTCTTGTTTATTGTATCGACTGAGCATATCTTCCTAGCTCTAGTTGCACGACATTTGACTACTTTTCTATTATAATCAAAGGGCGCATAGCTCAATAAATGTGTGTACTTGCTTGCTGATGAACTTTTCCTACATACACTTCTACTGACAGAACCGTTTTCTTTTCTGTTTAACGAAGCGTCAAGTAAATGTAATTCCTCTTCACACTTAAATTTGTTTGCTGAATGATCGTGGTTAAATATTTCTAAGAGTTCTTCTTTTCCAAGGTTCTGATCGACAAGTAATAAGCTTTGGTTGATTTTGGATGAGGTGAAGAAATTTTTAAATGAACGGCTGGTTTGGTGATCATCTGGCAGATTTAAAATCATCTACAAGTATGTACAATCTCTGAAGGTCAAAGAGCGAATAGTTAATAAATTCAGATAATAATGTATGTAGAAGCTAGAATAAACTCATATAATTATTAAAATGAAATCACTACAAAACTCAACATCATATTCACAGTTTCAATTTCTACGCTTACAACTATTCAACCAGATTTAAATGGCAGATATTTGTAATAGGCTAGCTTTGTTAAACAATCACCTTGATAACCGTTATTATCTAAATCCCAATGATGTTCAAATTCAGAAGGCAATAAGAAGCGACGACTACAGTTTATTAGCCGGTAGCACAGACAACAAAGTCATAGGCATATCGAGCAAATTGAAGCAAAGAGGCAAATGTATGTATTCGAGCAAATATACAGAGGCGAATTTATAGTCAAATCGAATCAAAGCGCGGCTAGACAAAGCAAATACTATTGATAGGATTCAAGCACATATATACATAAGAAAGGGAATGAATCATAGAGTGATATTTAAGCTACTAACATATTAACTAGAGAAAGATATGTATGTAGGCTGTCACATGTGATCAAGTATACACGTTTATAAAAACATGGTAGTGATCATAATAATACAAATAATAAATAGACAACTTATTACTGTACCAACAACATTGTCTGTTAAGTAGGTTAATAAAAGAGCTTGACAATAATTAATTGTTTTGTTTTGTTATAGTTGAATGTTCATTGGTTTTTTAATTTTTAGATTTACATAATCATTTGTGATAATTAACTGATTATTATTAGAAGGGATTTTGTGGAGATTTTTAGAAATTTCAATAGTTGAACTCATGAGTCAATTGAAACTAGACCATCATGGAAAATCTGGAAGCACTGGACGGCCGTTTAGTCCTAGTATGGAACTCCTCAACAGCGTTGGATACCGGCTCAGTGGTCTAATAGTTAGGCGCTCGTGCGTGAGACTGGCAGGTCCTGAGTTCGAATTTCGCGGGGAGCGAGGTCGTGTATGCGCACTGCTGAGGAGTCTTATATTAGGACGAAACGGCCATCCAGATCTTCCAAGTTTTCCATGGTGTTCTAGCTTCAATTGACTCATGATTTCAACCATTGAAATTAACTAATTAATTGATCATTTTATCCATTTTTGGTATTAACCCTCTGTTATTTTAATAGATCGTACAAATTAAAATAAATTAACTATTTAATCAGTAAGTTATTACGTAATTAATATTTCATGGTTTATATTCAAATCTAAAAGTGGTATGTTACAGTAGAATCACTAATTAAAATGTGATGCCTCTCAAAGTTGTGTCTGATAAGGCTGAGAAGAAAGCATCCAAGAATAAATTGCCGAAGGTCGATAAGAAAAAGAATAGCAGGAGGAAGAGGAGGAGGAGGAGGAAAGAGAGTTATGCTATCTACATCGATAAAATTTATCTTTGTTTAATTGTTTAATTATAATGTTTAAATGAAAATATTTAACTATTTTGTATAAAATAAAATAACTTGATAAAAACATGATTACTTCTTCAAAACGATCAGTCATTCACCGTGAATACTGGAATTCAAGCCTGTGTATCCATAAAGTTTAGGTTATTGAAAGTTGAGTTAAATTTGTTTGCATCATAATAGAGTTTACTCGTTCAAATGTTGATTGAATTATTCTGCAATCTTTAAACGTACAAACTGATTTTACATGAGTCAAATCTAGAAGAAATATATCGTAGTTCCTATTATAGACTGATCTTAGTTAGGTAACTATTGGAAATAGGATACACTGAATAGCTACATCATTCTAATGTAAGGCGACTCAGAAATGGCATCAAAAGATAATTGCGTAACTTCGCTAAATAACTGGGGTCGAAATTTCAAACCACTGAATTGTGGCTCAGTGGTGTAAATGTTTAGTGCTTGCTGAGAGAACTGGTTGCTTATTTTGAATCTTTGGTAAGGTCGTGGATGAGCGCTGTTAGGATGGAACATTTGTTTGATGCTTCATAGTTTTTAATGGTCGTCTAACTAAAATCATTTAGTGGTGTAAACTGTGAAGTTCAAAATGCTACACAAATAAATCTTTGGATGGATGATGTCGTAAGACTTGTTATTTTTGTAGAGTTCGGTATTCTTTACCAGATAGTTTGATTTAAAAACTTGAATTGTCGATCTGAACAACATGATCGCCTACTTTCTGTGAAATAGAGGTTCCCACTTGTCTCATAAACGAATGAAAACGTTTCAGAGAAGAAAATTTTGTTTTCAACGATACAAGCTGTACAACAATATTTATAGGTATTCTCTTACATATGTAATAACCTATAGTGAAATAGAGGAGTGTTACAAAACTATCTGTTTCAATCTAGACTACTACATATGAAAAGTTCCTTGTATATACGATTGTAAGGCATAAGAAATGATATGGTAGAGAAACATTTTTTCCAACGAATCAATGGGTTTCTTTTGTTATTCCATACATTAGGTTATACTAGGTTATACTAGAATTATTTATGATGGTTTACCTACACATGTTTTATTATCTTGATTTATATTTGCATTAACTGTCTTAAGTTGTTTATATCCAATGCAAAAAATACATCATCAATAGCTGAACACTTTCTGACATTATTGTTTATCTCACAGTAGGAATTCACTTCTGTCTAGAAAAAAATCAATCTTAGCTCAACAAAACAACTCCCAATAGATCACAACATAAACTTCATATTTTATCAAACTGATAGACTATATTTTGAATAATAGATCCATCAGGTGATCCATTCTATGTGTATTCATAATTCTTTCAACAACAAAAAAAGCAAACAATATCCCTTAATAAGAATATGTTTGGATCATCTTCATAATTTGCATAATCATTTTCATTATCACAAAGTAAATTAAACATTAATTCACAATGTTCAATTTATTACGATAGTAAAAGTAGTCTATCAAAGACATTAATCCTCTGTATTCTTCAAAATGTATTAGAACAATTCGTAGATACATTTAAAACTGTAGTTCCTCATCCAGATGAAGTATGCGCAAATGTTTTACATTATTTTGTATGCTAATTCATTCACCGTCAACTTAATAATCTATGAGATTGTGTTTTTCTTGATCCTTGAAGGTTTTAGATTAAATACTAAACAAGTTCATAAGTTTCCATTGTTAATAGATTATAAACTAAAAACGAAACAATGATTTTGTTCTTACGTCATTATTCTCAATAGTTTTCCAAACAATGTAGTTCCATTATGAATGATCTATTCAACATAAGCTCCTATTTCAATATTAGCATATCCGTTTATCAACTAAAGAAACAATAAAAATCTAATTTAAATATAAACAAAATCTCAAACTGTTATAACTTGTGGTTTTGTGACCTATTAATGTATAACGTAATGACACCGCCTATTAGAAAACAGTGATTTATCGACAGGACCAATAACGCATAAAACCTGTACGAGCAGTCTAGAGTCCATATCGGTTCTAATTCCTGCCTAGCCTTGCCTGTTTAGTCCAAAAAAAATAACAATAAGGCTATGTTGACAGATATAAGTAGTATGCAACACGGATAAAAAATGGAATGGCTGGCAGCAGAAATTGAAATGATCGACCAGAAGAGAATAGTAATGTAAACTGAGAGTAATTTTAATAACAACAGGAATGGATGAATAGTGAAGTTTGTAAGAGACAAGTGATTGAAGATGTGCAAATGATATATTTAATGTATAGTTTTTATATTTTAACAGTACACACTTTAGAATTCTAAATCCTTCTTTATTGTCATTGGAATCTTTCCTCTAATCTACACTAAGTTGATAATTTGAAATCTTGAGTTTTGATGAAATTCAAGTAAACAACTACTTAGAGAGTATATTTGGTAATTACTTTTAGTAAACATCCATACAGAGTGTGTTGATCAAAGTTAATATCATGTACTGATCGTAGTTAAACATCCGTCTTGATACGTGACAACTTAATAGTGAGCATCCATAACCCGACCAAGGATCGATCCGGCAACTTTTCAGGTATCACGAAAACCATTTAACCCTTAAGTCACTAATTTATTGTCTAACTGTTTACAGGTTTAACTTTAATTAACTCTGAATACTAGGATGAAAACTTGTCGGATGACCCCTAGTTTTCAACGGTTGTCTAACAGAAGTCATTCAGTGATACAAGTTATAAACTTCAACAATCTCTGCAAAGTTTCTGGAGTGTAAATAATTGGTAGTTTGGCAGGGACAAGTGAATCTGATAATTATTGTACATGTTCACTTATATTATCACTACAACTCAAAAAGGGAAAGTACATTATTTTATTAAACAAACTCGGCAGTGAAATCTATAAACAACAGACATTTGTTTCCTTATGGTTGTTTTAATTTAATCGGGGAACCGATTCTCACACTTCCAACATGTGTATTGTTAGACTCTAATGATAACTTCTATTTTATATGCTAGAACGCCCAAATTCCACTTCATCTACCTTGCTTAGAAGTATGCCAGTATAGTTGAGACTTAAGATTTCTGTTACTCTTGAAGTATCTATGCAAAACATTAGGAAACTAAAGATAACCTGATTAATTTCTGTGAATCTGATATTACCACTGATTAACGAAGTTAATTTACCGATCAATAAGAGGTATTTTGTGAACAGTATGGATTAACTTTTTGAGGTGGTCAGTTTCTAGACAGTTTAACTCAGCAGTTCATTAATTTAGTCCTTAGTATTCAATGGTATCGTAATTGAGGTCAATCTATAAAGAAAACCATTTATAACCATTACTTACGCCTGTTAATCCTCGCGAAGGAGCGTAGGCCGCTCACCAGCATTCTCCATCCAACCCTGTCCCAAGCAATCCTCTTTAGCTCTTTCCAGTTCTTATTCATCCTTTTCATATCCGCTTCTATTTCCCGACGTAATGTGTTCTTTGGCCTTCCTCTTTTCCTCTTCCCTTCAGGATTCCAAGTTAGGGCATGCCTCGTAATGCAGCTTGATGATTTCCTCAATGTATGTCCTATCCATTTCCATCGTCTTTTCCTAATTTCCTCTTCCGCTGGAAGCTGGTTGGTTCTCTCCCACAGAAGGCTGCTACTGATGGTATCCGGCCAATGGATGTTGAGTATCTTG